TACACTTTCTGCTATGCTTTGACAAGTAGGAAGTAATATTTCCGTCATCAAAGTATCAGGAGATCGTGGTGCAGCAGTAAACTTCAACGCGCCAGCCGCAGGAGTTGTGGCAACACCACAACGAGAGAAGCAGTCCGCTGCCTTCTTCTGTGCGCCGGGAGGAACAGCTGATGCTGGGGGCAGTGTCGTTGTTGGTTGCCGTGCCGCTCCTGCTAGGTGCTGCCTGCCCTGAAGGCAGCAGGGCAATGGCGTTTGCAGGAACAGCTGAGGAAGAATGCTCACCCTAGGAATGTAGGGTGATGTGGGGGAGCGCATGGCAAAGGATGCCATGTGCTGAATACGAGTGAGAAAGTGCTTAGCACTGGAGAGTCCAGAAATCACGAACTAGGACATTAGATGCAGATCCGAGCAAGGCAAATGATAGAGAACTTGGAAATGGGACAAGTTCTTTTCGCGCACCATGTGAAAAGTGAGCTCGGTGAGACACATCTTATTGGTGAAGTACAATCCATACAGCTGAACATCTTGATATGTCTACGAGAAACATTACTAGCAACGATTGGCCAAGTTATTATGGTCGGTGCTGGCATCACCTGAGTACTAAACTGCAATGTAAACCAGCAAGGACAACGGCTAGTTTCGCGCCTTGTATGAAAGTGGCCATTCACATCATTGAGCCACCCTGTTATTCGGAGATCCCGCGACGCCATCCGGGCTCGTGCGCGTTACGCCTTCCACGCGGCCTTGGCGCTCTGCGCCTTGCCAAGGGCGGACGCGAGCAGGCTCTTGTCGGCGCCGCCGGCGGGGAGCATGATGCTCACACCGTTGATGGTGGCGATCGAGTTGTCGATCTGCCCCGCCACCAGCGTGCGCTGCCCAGTGCGAATCAGAATGGCGGCGTTGCGCAGCGCCGCCGCCGTGTCCGTGAGGCTCTTGACGTACGTCTTGACGGAGAGCTTCGCCTTGGCGCTGTCCACGTCCACCGCCGCCGCATCCAGCAGCGATACCACCTTCGAGTCCGACCCGCTCAGCTTCACTGCCGGCTTCCCCGCGCCGGGCGTGCCGGGCTTGCCGGAAGTGGCGGGCTTGCCAGGAGTGGCGGGGGTTGTGGGAGTGGGGGGAGTCTTCTTGCCGCCCTTCTTGTTGGGAGTGGTGGGAGTGGAAGGCGAGGGAGTGGGAGGAGACTTCTTCGACTTCTTGTCCTCCTTCTTCTTGTCCTCCTTCTTCTTCTTGTCCTTCTTCTTCTTGTCCTTGTCCTCGTCATCATCGTCGTCGTCGTCGTCGAGAATCCTCCTCGTCGCAGCGTCGTCGCTGAGAGCATTTGTGGCGTCGAGCTGAGCCAGATCGCCGTACATGGCAGCGGCAAGCGCGGACGAGGCAGCCTTGGGGACGGCGAGCTCGGCGGAGGCGTTGAGGCAGAGCGACGCCAGTACGAGCGCCACCAGGGGCAGCGCACAGGCTAGCGCGGACATTCTCGAGTACGCCATGGCTATTCTTCGGAAGCAGGCAGACTATTCGATATAAGGAACAGGAGCGTTTGAAGGGCTTGCTTTGTGAAGCTGGGTTGAGATACGATGAGGAATGGAGTTTATGGGCGGAATTTATGGAAAAGAGTTAGCGGGGGGCTGTGGTGGGAGGAGGTGGAGGCTGGGAAGGCATTTCTCAATTCTCGATTGAGATGGATTGTGCGGCTCGGAAATGTGGGAGGGCGACTCTGAGAGGGGGTTGTTCGCTTGCCTGTGAGGCTTGACGGATAGCACGTCGCACGCGACCAGGCATACCGTTCAGTGCGACGGGGATGGTTCGGTCGTCCAACTGTGGCGTGGTTCTCGCTGGGTGGTGCTGCTGTGGCAACGAAATAACGTTGGCGAAGAACTGGCGTGACGAAATCGTGGGCGATGAGCATGAGTGGGCTGGGCAGGCTGTGAAACTCGCGCGAACGACGACTTTCGTGGTGTTATTCAGCACCTCCGTGTCATCACGCTCACAAGGAATCGCACGTCACCCTTCCATCGCACATCCCTAAAAATCGGATGTGTGGCGACGGGACTAGATGTATGCACACCCATTCCATGTTGTTTGTTACGAGTGAAATTGAACGAGCGAGAATTTGTTTTTGGTTTGAGCTCGACGAGTGCAATTGAGTGAACGAACGAGAATTGCACTTCAACATCGCGTACAGCAGCAGCCGTTCTTCGCCCGTTACTGCTAACGGGGCTTCGCCGACTTCGCGAGCACTGTTTCACCAAACCTCGCACTGCTGGCCCGGCCGTGTCGGCCTATGCTTCGGGACTAGCCCGAGCCTCGTAGACTAGCTAGCTCGCACGCACCGCGTTACCGTTTGCATGTTTCGCGTATAAATGTTTGCTCATGCCTTCGCTCACATTTTGTATTCGTTTGACACCTTAGTGCAATCCTCGCTACCTCGATTCATTGCACCCGTAACACTTGGTATTCAGAGCCTCTTTCTTTTCGGACCGCGCATCTCCGCACCCCAAGAAATCAACTTTTGATTTTTCACTGGAAGGGACTCATGTGTTGGGCTGAGAAGCCCAAGGATCTTTGTAGAGTTGAAGGACTGAGTAAGATTGTAATAGCGGAAGCGTTGTAATACAGAGTGGTTGAACCAGTGCATTAGTATGTGAGAGCAAAGTAAGTTAAATTAAACAAGCAAATACAAGGTTTATATAAGAGTACAAGGAATACGAATAGATAGATTTAAACCGTTTTACTGTTGCGATTCGATACAGTGCGACTCAGGCAACTGCTCAATGTCGAGTCAGTTGTGTGTCCTTGCTGTCGCGCTGTATTGGTCAAGTCAAAGGTCGCTGACCTTTGACCTTCGCGTAACCTCCAGGCGGTTACCCCGACCTCCGAGGGTTGACTCGCGATGCTTCGATTTGGACTGCTTCGCTAGTGTCCTGAGTTTCGACACGACAGAGGCGCCTTAAGACTTATTGTTCCCAACACTCCCCTTCGCTTCTGGAGTGTCGTTGATGGTGACGTGGCCTTGTCCAGTCAGCAGCATTCAGTACTCGAACTTCTGTTTTCCGAGTTTCTTTGTCAAATAATCGGCTGCCATCTCGGACGTGGGACAGTAGGATAACTCGAGTCTTCCTTTCTCAATCTCGTCTTTCACGAAGAAGTATCGCAGAGCGATATGCTTCGTTCTGTTCGCGAATCCGTTTTTGTTGGCGATGCGAATTGCATATTGGTTGTCGCAGTGCAGGGTGAAGCTGGGTAACTCAGCTAACTTTGCTTCTTCCAGCATTTCGCGAAGGTAGAGTCCTTCCTTGGTGGCTGAACAGAGGGCGATATATTCTGCTTCAGCTGAAGAGAGAGCGATTAGTTCCTGCTTACTCGACTGCCAGGAGATAGGCCCGATAGGCTCGAGACGATAGACGTAGCCGGTACGAGAACGCCTGTTATCAGAATCGCCGGCATGGTCAGCATCAACGTAGCCGATTAGTTTCGTCGTCGTAGCTTCGCCCTTGTAGTAAGTTAGGCCGATCGTTGGTGTGCTCACGAAGTAGTGCAGTGCGCGATCGAGCTCCGCCATGTGCTCAGCTTCGGGTTTCTTGAGATAGGTGGCGAGTTGACTCGCGGAGTAGGATAGATCTGTCAAACATTATATATGTTATGCTTGTGTAGGCTACAGTGGGTTAGCCTATAGGGGGTACACAATTCTAGGGTTTCCTACTTGTACTCATTTCACTGCTAGTTCATTCATTCCTGTTCGCTTATTCTCACATGGTATAGAGCGGGTCCTTCTACGGACCGTTTTTTTTTGGGCCCACCGAAGCGCCCCCCGAGGCGCGATCTTTTTTTTAGCGACCCCTCGGGTCGCCATTTCCCCTGCGGCCCCGCCGCCTTCACTGACGCGGCCCCGCCGCCCTCTCTGTCGCGGCCCCGCCGCCTGCTCTCACGCGGCCCCGCCCCGGCTCCTTCGCGGCCCCGCCGCCTGCTCTCGCGCGGCCCCGCCCCGGCTTCTACGCGGCCCCGCCCCGGCTTTCACGCGGCCCCGCCGACGGCTTTGTCGCGGCCCCGCCCAGGCCCTTACGCGGCTCCGCCGCCTGCTCTCACGCGGCCCCGCCCCGGCTCCTTCGCGGCCCCGCCGCCTGCTCTCGCGCGGCCCCGCCCCGGCTTCTACGCGGCCCCGCCCCGGCTTTCACGCGGCCCCGCCGACGGCTTTGTCGCGGCCCCGCCCAGGCCCTTACGCGGCTCCGCCGCCTGCTCTCACGCGGCCCCGCCCCGGCTCCTTCGCGGCCCCGCCGCCTGCTCTCGCGCGGCCCCGCCCCGGCTTCTACGCGGCCCCGCCCCGGCTTTCACGCGGCCCCGCCGACGGCTCTGTCGCGGCCCCGCCCAGGCCCTTACGCGGCCCCGCCGCCTGCCCCCGTCGCGGCCCGGTCACCTCCTGACGGCCCCGCCGTCCCTTCCTGACGGCCCCGCCGTCCCCTCCTGACGGCTCCTGCCGTCCCCTTCTACCGGCCCCGCAACTGCACCTGCTGGCCCCGCCGCTGCACCTACCGGCCCCCCACCACCCACCCCCCCTTTTCCCGTCGCCTGTCGAGGCGACCTGAGGGGGCCGGAGGGGTGGCAGGTGTGTGGCCTCCCCTGCTTCTCCTCCTCCTTCATCTCCCCTGCAGCAGCCGAGCCGCCCCACAGCCGAGCCGCCCTGCCGCCGAGCCGCCGGGTCGCTGAGCTGCTGAGCTGCAGTTGCTGCCGAGCCGCCCTGCCGCCGAGCCGCCGAGTCACCGAGCTACTGAGCTGCAGTTGCTGCTGAGCCGCCTTGCCGCCAAGCCGCCCGAGTCGCCCGAGCCGTCGAGCCGCCGAGCTGCCGAGCCGCTGAGTCGCCGAACCTACTCTTCCCACCACTGGTGAGCTCTTGCCCTGCTAGCACGCTGCGCGTCGCCTGCTTGCCTGCCTGCCTGCCTTTTGGCTTGCCTGGCTGCCTGCCTCCCTGCTGCTAGTCCTGCTCCTGCTTCTACTTGCGGAGCCAAATGCAGCCCCAGCGACGCCGGCGTGAGTCCCTCACGCCGCAGCAGCTGCGTGAGTGGTACGCTGGTTGGGGCTGTAGGGGTGGCGACGCTACTCCTACTACCACTCCTGCTGCTTCTACTCGTGGTGGCGGCCAGATGCAGCTCCCGCGACCCTCTCGCGTGTCTCTCACGCCTCGCCAGCTTCGTGAGTGGTACGCTCAGAGTGGAGGGTCTCTTAGTGCTGTTCGCTGCTCTTACGTGATTCGCACTGGTACTCGGACTGGTCAGCCTTGTGGGACCCGTAGTCATACACCGTCCCGCTGCTCGTCGTGTTCTGTCCTCCCAGGACGTCACGTTCGACTAGTCAGTCCCCTTCTACCGCCTCTTCCCCTACCGCACTCCTTCCCTCTCCCCTCCGCCGGACTTCCTTGTGCCAGTTCCCCCCCCGGTAGACCCCCTCCCCCCTCAGGTTCCTGCCCCCTCAGGTGTGTCCCAGGTAGACGCCGTTGACCCAGTCGAGGTTACTGGTGACTCTGGTGCTGCTGCGGGTGCTGAGCCTGGGGGTGCTGACTCTGGGGGTGCTGTGCGCGGGGGTGCCGAGCCTGGAGGGACTGCTACTGGGGGTGCTGGGCCTGGGAGTGCTACTGCGGAGGTTGCGGAGCCTGGGGGTGCTGAGCCGGGGGGTACGGTGCCTGGAGCTGCTGAGCTAGGGGGTGCTGGGTCTGGGGGTGCTGGGTCGGGAGCTGCTGAGCTTGGGGGTACTGAGTCTGGAGCTGCTGAGCCTGGGGGTGCTCCGTCTGGAGCTGTTGAGCCTGGGGTTTCTCCTGCTGCTGCGTCTCGCCGGGAGCCCCTCTCTCCACAAGAGCTGCGCGAGTGGTTTGCTCGCCGCTGGAGGCGTGATGCTGGAGCTGGAGCTTCTTCGACCGTCGAGGGTGCTGGTGCTGCCGGTCCCGGAGCTGCTGGGTTTGCGGGTACTCCTGGAGCAGGAGCTCCTGAGGGTGGTGGTGCTGAGACTACTGCTGTCTGTCCCGGCGGTGGTTCTGCTCCTGGTGCTGCTGCAGGTCCTGCCACTGGAGGTGTTGGTGGCGCTGGTGCTGTCGCTGAGGGTGCTGGTGCTGTCCCTGCTGAGTCTGGAGCTGCCGCGCGGCCTCGACCGTACTTTGTTCCGCTCCTGCAGCAGGTTCTTGGTCTTTCTCCTCCGGTAGAGTGTTCACAGCCTGTCCAGTCACAGTCACTGTTGGAGCCTTCCTCTCCACTGCCTGCTCCCTCTCCTTACACTGGTCCTACTGGAGGTCTTGCTGAGCGTCGTGAGCCTGCGTCTCGTCCTGCGTCGCCAGTTCGTGCTGCTCGCACTAGTGGTCGCGGTTCGCGTCAGCGTCCTCCTCCTGTCCCTGGCACGCACCGGATGTCTCTGCGTCCGTCCACTGCTCCTCTGCGTGCCCCTTTGCCTTCTCCTCCTGAGTCCTCTCTTCCTGCCCTTGCCGACCCGGAGTCGGACTCTCTTCGTGCTGCCAGTCCTACTGTCACGCGTCTGCTTGCTACTGTTGTCACTGACCCCTCTTTTGAGTCCACTGCTGCGTCTGCTCTTGTAGCTGAGCTCGTCGACTTTGCTGCTCGCTGTCGTCTAGACTACGCTGCTAGTCTTGTTGCTGAGTCTGCGTCTGTCTGTCCTCCGTCCGTCGGGGGTGAGTGTGCTCTTGGCACGGACGTCCTAGAGGACAGGCAGAAGGAGTTACAGTGTCTGGCTGCTGCTTCACCTCATCTTGCGTCTGTACTGCTTGCTCCTGAGGGAGACCCGGATGCACTTGACATCCCGACTCCGCGCTCTTACGCGGAGGCCGTAGAGGGTCCCTACTCGTCTCAATGGCAGGCAGCTATGGATGCAGAGATGGCTTCCTGGAAGTCCACAGGCACCTACGTTGACGCAGTTCCCCCTCCTGGGGCGAACATCGTCAGTGGCATGTGGATCTTCAGGGTGAAGCGGCCCCCGGGCTCTCCACCTGTCTTCAAGGCGCGGTACGTTGCTCGTGGCTTCAGTCAGCGGCAGGGAGTTGACTATTTTCAGACCTTCTCTCCCACCCCGAAGATGACCACTCTTCGGGTGCTGCTGCACATAGCCGCTCAGCGCGACTACGAGCTTCACTCTCTCGACTTCAGCACTGCGTTCCTACAGGGTAGCCTGCACGAGGAGATCTGGCTGCGCCGTCCACCTGGCTTCACTGGGACTTTCCCTCCTGGCACCCAGTGGAGCCTCCGACGGCCAGTCTACGGTCTCCGCCAGGCACCGCGTGAGTGGCACGACACACTGAGGACTACGCTTGCAGCTCTTGGGTTTGCTCCTTCTACTGCTGACCCGTCGCTGTTTCTGCGCACCGACACTTCTCTGCCGCCATTGTACATCCTCGTGTACGTCGACGACTTGGTCTTTGCCACAGCGGACACTGCTGGACTCGCCTACGTGAAGTCCGAGCTGCTGAAGAGACACACGTGCACAGACCTGGGTGAACTGCGCAGCTACCTTGGCTTGCAGATCACTCGGGACAGAGCACGCCGCACCATTACCTTGACTCAGTCACACATGGTGCAGCAGGTCCTTCAGCGCTTCGGCTTCACGTACTCCTCGCCTCAGGCCACTCCTCTGTCTACTCGCCACTCGCTCTCAGCTCTGCCTTCGGATGAGTCCGTAGAGCTGAGTGGCCTGTACCCAGAGCTTGTTGGCTGCCTCATGTACCTGATGACCTGCACTCGACCTGACCTTGCATACCCTCTGAGCATTCTTGCATGCTATGTTGCTCCTGGGAGACACCGACCAGAGCACATGGCTGCAGCGAAGAGGGTGTTGCGCTACCTGTGCAGTACGTCGGGCATGGGGCTAGTGCTTGGAGGGCGCAGTCCAGTGGTCCTTACAGGGCACGCGGACGCTTCTTGGGCTGACGACCAGGCTACGCAGCGGTCGTCACAGGGTTACACCTTCAGTCTTGGTTCCGGCTCTGTCTCTTGGCGGGCTACTCGCTCGTCTTCGGTTCTCAGCTCCAGTTGTGAGGCTGAGATCTACGCTGGGGCCATGGCTGCACAGGAGCTTCGCTGGCTCACCTACCTGCTGACTGACCTTGGAGAGCCACCTCGTTCTCCTCCAGTGCTGTACGTAGACAACAAGGCCATGCTGGCCTTGTGTCGAGAGCAGCGTCTGGAGCACAGAACGAAGCACATTGCTCTTCGCTACTTCCTTGCTCGTGAGCTGCAGCAGCGTGGACAGTTGCGGCTTGCGTACGTGGCCTCTGAGGCCAACACTGCTGATGTGTTCACCAAGGCACTCGCGCCTTGTGACCATCAGCGCCTCTGCACCCAGCTGGGTCTTGTGCCTGTCTTGCCTCACTTGCTCTCCTCTTGACTTTACTTGTACTGTGACATATATATACCTGCTCTTGCTTGTCTAGTTTTATATATATATGTCTGTACTCCTGCATGTGATTTGGCCTCTGGCCCTGCTCTTGTGCTCGGACTGAGTGGTGACGTTGTGATCCACCCTGAGCTTGCTCTGCTTTGCTTTACTTGACTGGTCTTGTGACCCCTTGTTCTCCCCCACTTTGCCTATGGGGGTGTGTCAGATTTATATGACATAGTTGCTGTAGGCTATTGTGGGGTAGCACATATGGGGTACAGGGTTTCTAGGGCTGTATTTGTACCCAATCCTTCCTTAGTCATTTCATTCCTGCTTACTTGTTTCACAGTGAGATCTTTCTGCAGCTCCCCTTCGAACTAGGTGGTGACGTCGTCGGTGGAGCCGATGTAGAGGAGATCGTCGACGTAGACGATGAGTAGGATGTAGTTGGCGCCTTTAGTGAGTCGGTACATGCCCTGGTCATGGGGCAGTTGGCGGAATCCGATGCGGATGAGGCGGGTGTGCAGGTGCTGTTGCCACAGCCGTGGGGCCTGCTTGATTCCGTAGAGGGACTTTAGCAGTTGGCAGACTTGATTGGGTTCCCCGTGGGTACCGTGAGGGAGCTCGACGAAGATGTCGGCGTCGACAGGTGCGTAGTGGAAGGCATTGGCGACATCAATTTGTCGCAGCTTCTTCTTCTTCATGGCGGCGACGGCGAGAAGAATTCAGAGTGAGGTATGTCGACTAACTGGGGCGAATGTCTCGGTGAAGTCTCGCCCTTGCTCCTGGTCGAATCCTCGCACGACCCATCGTGCCTTGAACTTCTTGATTGTACCATCTGCTTTTGTTTTGATGCGGAAGACCCATTTCCCGGTGAGAATGGTCTTGTTCCGTGCCACGCTTGCGGGAACGACCTTCCAGGTGTTGCGTTCCTCCAATGCCTTTAATTCCCTGTCCATGGCTTCACGCCATTTTTCCCTGTGTTCCCCCCCCAGAGCCTGTTGAACTGTCGCAGGCTCTTTAGGAAGAGTGTTGTCGGCGGTCCCGTGGACTGCGGTGACGAGGCCAAGGATTTGTAGCCCAGTCTGTGAGTATCGAGGGAGTTCTGGATCCTCGGGATAAGCTGCTTCGTCTCCCGCTTCTGGGTCGGGGATGAAATTTGGCCCTATCCTTTCTGCTTCGTTGGTGTTGACTGTCGCAGGTGTTACGTAACCGTTGTCGGCGAAGTGGTAGAAGACTTCGGCGTTGTTACTGTCGCAAGGATTATCTTCATCCATGGGCACATCGACGGAGTAGTACGGGAGAGGTCTGGCTTCCTCCGATGCGTTGTCGACGTTCTGTTCATCCCAGTCTGCTTTGTCCGCTGCTGAGGCGAAGGCTCGGTCACCACAAAAGTCACCTGTGGGGTCCCGATTCTCGTGCAAGTTGGCGAGGTACGTCTGAAGGGTGAGTCGTTCGTAGAAGATCACATCACGTGCTGCTACTTTTTCTTTTGTGTGGACGTCGAAGATTCTCCACGCGTTGTATTTTTTCTCGATGCCGAGGTGTAGTCCCCACTGTGCCCGTTGCGAAAATCTTCCCGCTCGTGCTTCTGGGGGTCGGTACTGTACCATGCACCCAAATACTCGTAACATTTTTGTGCTGCCCTGCTTTCCTGTCCACAGCAGATGTGGTGATGCGTTGTTCGGGAGTGACGACGACGAAAGCAAGTTGTGCAGCATGACAGCATGGTCCATTGCTGCTGGCCACTGGTGGTTGGGTAGCCGCATGCCACGTAGTAGTTTGCGCATGCTGTTCTGCAGGGTCCAGTTCATTCTTTCTGCTACACCCTGCTGCTGATGTGCGTAGGGAAGGGAGAGGAGTTGCTTGATCCCCCTTTCCGCCAGGTACTGCTTGAAGCGCTGAGAGGTGTATTCGCCACCTCCGTCTGACTGGAAGCTTTTCAGCTGCGTTCCTGATTCCCTTTTGTGAAAGTAGGAAAACAGGAATGAGTGAACTATGAATGAAAGCAGTACAAATATGAAACCCTAACTGGGTTGTACCCCCTATGGGATACCCCACTACAGCCTACACAGCAGTATAAGCTATAGATATGTTCTGACACACCCCCATAGGCAAAGTGGGGGAGAACAAGGGGTCACAAGACCAGTCAAGCAAGACAAAGCAAAGCTCAGGGTGGATCACAAAGTCACCACACAGTCCGAGCACAAGAGTGAGGCCAAAGGCCAGTTCACAAGCAAGAGTACAGACATATACATAAAGCTAGACAAGCAAGAGCAGGTATATATATATATGTCACAGTACAAGTGAAGTCAAGAGGAGAGCAAGTGAGGCAAGACAGGCACAAGACCCAGCTGGGTGCAGAAGCGCTGATGGTCACAAGGCGCAAGTGCCTTGGTGAACACATCAGCAGTGTTGGCCTCAGAGGCCACGTACGCAAGTCGCAACTGACCACGCTGCTGCAGCTCACGAGCAAGGAAGTAGCGGAGAGCAATGTGCTTCGTTCTGTGCTCCAAGCGCTGCTCTCGACACAAGGCCAGCATAGCCTTGTTGTCTACGTACAGCACTGGAGGAGAACGAGGCGGCTCTCCAAGGTCAGTCAGCAGGTAGGTGAGCCAGCGAAGCTCCTGTGCAGCCATGGCCCCGGCGTAGATCTCAGCCTCACAACTGGAGCCGAGAACCGAAGACGAGCGAGTAGACCGCCACGAGACAGAGCCGGAACCAAGGCTGAAGGTGTAACCCTGTGACGACCGCTGCGTAGCCTGGTCGTCAGCCCAAGACGCGTCCGCGTGGCCGGTAAGGACCACTGGACTCCGCCCTCCAAGCACTAGCCCCATGCCTGACGTACTGCACAGGTAGCGCAATACCCTCTTCGCTGCAGCCATGTGCTCCGGTCTGTGTCTCCCAGGAGCAACATAGCGTGCAAGAATGCTCAGAGGGTATGCAAGGTCAGGTCGTGTGCAGGTCATCAGGTACATGAGGCAGCCAACAAGCTCCGCATACGGACCACTCGACTCTACGGACTCATCCGAAGGCAGAGCTGAGAGTGAGTGGCGAGTAGGCAGAGGAGTGGCCTGAGGCGAGGAGTACGTGAAGCCGAAGCGCTGAAGGACCTGCTGCACCATGTGTGACTGAGTCAAGGTAATGGTGCGGCGTGCTCTGTCCCGAGTGATCTGCAAGCCAAGGTAGCTGCGCAGTTCACCCAGGTCTGTGCACGTGTGTCTCTTCAACAGCTCGGACTTCACGTAGGCGAGTCCAGCAGTGTCCGCTGTGGCAAAGACCAGGTCGTCGACGTACACGAGGATGTAGAACGGCGGCAGGGAAGTGTCGGTGCGAAGAAACAGCGACGGGTCAGCAGTAGAAGGAGCAAACCCAAGAGCCGCAAGTGTAGTCCTCAGTGTGTCGTGCCACTCACGCGGTGCCTGGCGGAGACCGTAGACTGGCCGTCGGAGGCTCCACTGGGTGCCAGGAGGGAAAGTCCCAGTGAAGCCAGGTGGACGGCGAAGCCAGATCTCCTCGTGCAGGCTACCCTGCAAGAACGCAGTGCTGAAGTCGAGAGAGTGAAGCTCGTAGTCGCGCTGAGCGGCTATGTGCAGCAGCACCCGAAGAGTAGTCATCTTCGGGGTGGGAGAGAAGGTCTGAAAGTAGTCAACTCCCTGCCGCTGACTGAAGCCACGAGCAACGTACCGTGCCTTGAAGACAGGTGGAGAGCCCGGCGGCCGCTTCACCCTGAAGATCCACATGCCACTGACGATGTTCGCCCCAGGAGGGGGAACTGCGTCAACGTAGGTGCCTGTGGACTTCCAGGAAGCCATCTCTGCATCCATAGCTGCCTGCCACTGAGAGGAGTAGGGACCCTCTACGGCCTCCGCGTAAGAACGCGGAGTCGGGATGTCTAGTGCATCCGGGTCTCCCTCAGGGGCAAGCAGTACAGACGCGAGATGAGGTGAAGCAGCCGCTAGACACTGTAACTCCTCCTGCCTGTCCTCTAGGACGTCCGTGCCAAGAGCACACTCACCCCCGACGGACGGAGGACAGACAGACGCAGACTCAGCAACAAGACTAGCAGCGTAGTCGAGACGACAGCGAGCAGCAAAGTCGACGAGCTCAGCGACTAGAGCAGACGCAGCAGTGGACTCAAAAGAGGGGTCAGTGACGACAGTAGCAAGCAGACGCGTGACAGTGGGACTGGCAGCACGAAGAGAGTCCGACTCAGGGTCCGCAAGCGCAGGAAGAGAGGACTCAGGAGGAGAAGGCAAAGGGGCACGCAGAGGAGCAGTGGACGGACGTAAAGACATCCGGTGCGTGCCAGGGACAGGAGGAGGACGCTGACGCGAACTGCGACCACTAGCGCGAGCAGCACGAACAGGCGACGCGGGACGAGACGCAGGCTCACGACGCTCAGCAAGACCTCCAGTAGGACCAGTGTAAGGAGAGGGAGCAGGCAGCGGAGAGGAAGGCTCCAGTAGGGGCTGCGACTGGACAGGCGGTGGACCCTCTACTGGAGGAGAAAGACCAAGAACCTGCTGAAGGAGCGGAACGAAGTACGGCCGAGGCCGCGCGGCAGCTCCAGACTCAGCAGGGACAGCACCAGCACCCTCAGCGACAGCACCAGCGCCACCCACACCTCCAGCGGCAGGACCAACAGCAGCAGGCTCAGCACGAACGCCCTCAGCAGCTCCAGCTCCAGGAGGACCCGCAGGGCCAGCAGCTCCGGGAACGGCTGCACCCGCACCCTCGACGGTCGAAGAAGCTCCAGCTCCAGCTCCAGCAGCACCTCCAGACTCAGCAGCACGCCTCCAGCGGCGAGCGAACCACTCGCGCAGCTCCTGTGGAGAGAGGGGCTCCCGGCGAGACGCAGCAGCAGGAGAAACCCCAGGCTCAGCAGCTCCAGACGCAGCACCCCCAGGCTCAGCAGCTCCCGACCCAGCACCCCCAGACCCAGCACCTCCAGGCACAGCACCCCCCGGCTCAGCACCCCCAGGCTCCGCACCCTCCGCAGTAGCACC